GCTTTATGATGACATAGAAGTAATATACTCAGGTAGAAACTCTACTTCTTTATCTTTTGCTTTTAACCATTTTTTGTGGTGCTAGGAGTCAAACCCAGAGCCTCATGCACGGCTGGGCAAACACCCATTCATTAACTTTGATTTCCCTCAGGGTTGCACTGCCCGTGATGCTTGGAGCAGGAGCGAGGCCCAGCTCCAGGCTGCTGTGAACGACACATCCCATACTCTACAGAGACTGGGCTACTAAGCTGTGCTGTTTGGCAGGTTGAGTCTATTAACTGCAGATGGCCTGTGTTATTTTCAATGTATGATAGATTCAGCAGGACATAACCTCACTATAAGCAAAAGTACATCTGCATTGTGACAGTCCCCCTACAAAACCATTGAACAGGTACCGATTAGTGGTGATGTCACCCGTAAGATCAGGGCCAGGCCCATCTTTGCTCAGTGGAGCCAGGACCAGGTCCTTTCAGGACAGGAGCTGCTTAAAAATCCTGGTCCGAAAATCAACCCACAAAAATCAGTCGCCTTCCTGTACACTGACAATGTACAAGCAGAGAGGAGGGAAGTAAAGGGAGCAACCCCATTCACAATAACCTCCCCCAAAATAAAATATTTAGGAATTAACCTAACCAAAGATGTAAAAGAACTATTTAATGAAAGCTATAAAAAGTTAAAGAAAGAAATCACAGAAGACACAAGAAATGGAAAGACCTTCCATGCTCTTGGATAGGCAGACTTAATATAGAGAAAATGGCAATACTGCCAAAATTAATATACAAATTAAATGCAATTCCTATTAAAATCCCAATGATGTACATCTCTGAAATGCAGAAAACAGTCCAAAAATTCATATGGAACAACAAAAGACCTAGAATAGCCAAAACTATTCTAGGGAATAAAAACAACATGGGAGGGATATTCATGCCGAACTTCAAACTCTACTATAGAACCATAATAACAAAGACAGCATAGTACTGGCACAAAAACAGACCTGAAGACCAATGGAATAGAATAGAAGATCCAGAAATAAAACCACATACCTACAGTCAGCTGATATTTGGCAAAGGAGCCAAAGACATACAGTGGAAGAAACACAGCCTCTTCAACTACTGGTGCTGGGAAAACTGGGAGGCCACATGCAGAAGACTAAAAGTGGACCCCAGCCTATCACCATGCACCAACATCAACTCAAAATGGATTAAAGACCTTAGCATCAAGCCTGAATTTCTGAAACTACTGCAGGACAGAGTAGGAGAGACACTTGAACTTATTGGCACAGGCAGGAACTTCCTGAACAGAGTCCCAGGGTCACAACAAATTGGAGAGACTTGACAAATGGGACTACCTTAAAATAAAAAGTTTCTGCGCAGCTAAAGCTGTAGCAACCAAGCTAGAAAGACAAACAACTAACTGGGAAAAAATATTTACCAGCAATATATCAGACAATGGGTTAAGGGCTGGGAAGGTGGCTCAGTGGTAGAGTGCTTGCCTCGCATGCATGAGGCCCTGGGTTCAATTCCTCAGCACCACATAAGCAGAAAAAGCCAGAAGTGGTGCTGCGGCTCAAGTGGTAGAGCTCTAGCCTTGAGCTGAAGAGCTGAGGGACAGCGCCCAGGCCCAGAGTTCAGGCCCCACAACTGACAAAAAAAAAAAAACAAAACAGACAATGGGTTAATATCCAGTATATACAGGGACTCAAAAACTAATCCCTCCCAAACCTAACAAACCAATTACTAAATGGGCAAGGGAACTAAAGAGAGACTTCTCAGAAGAAGAGGTAAAAATGGCAAAGAAACACATGAGGAAAATTCACTGGAAATATTTTTCTGTAATTTCTTCATAGATTTCTTTCTCACATTAAAAATGATTGGCATTCAATGACAAATGCTGGAGGGGATGCAGAGAAAGAGGAACCCTATTACACTGCTGGTGGGAATGTACACTTATACAACCACTTTGGAAAGCAGTCTGGAGGGTCCTTAGAAAGCTAAATATTGACCACCCTTATGACTCAGTCATACCACTTCTAGGCATCTATCCTGAACAACAGGAACCAGTATAACAAGGACACATGCACCTCCATGTTTATTGCAGCACTGTTCACAATAGCCAGGATATGGAAACAACCCAGATGTCCCACCACAGATGAATGGATCCAAAAATTGTTGTAACTATACACAATGGAATAGTATGCAGCCATTAGAAAGGACAAAATAATGGCATTTGCAGGGAAATGGATGGAGCTAGAAGAAATGTTGAGCAAGGTAAGTAAAGTGCAAAGAGACAAGAGGCACATGGTCTCCCTGATAAGTGGATGTTAAATCCAAAATGTTAGGTGATACAACAAAATTCACAGGACTTAAGTAACAAAGGACCTCCACTCATCTGGTCGAATCACTACTAAATAACCCCATGCTGCTAATCACATGTATGGTATATATGTGCACACCAGAGGGAAACCAGGAGGACGACACAGAACCAGAGAGAATCAGGGAAAAGCATATAACAGTGGGACCCATCAGCTGCACTGGACATTGATCAAAATGAACTAAGCAACTCAATGGCAGTGATGGGAGGGAGGGAACAAGTGGGAAAGAGGGAACAGCTGATGCTATGCAAAACAAAAGAAATGTACATATCACCCTATGTGGACGAAATAACTGTACTGCAAAACTCATTGAACTCATAAATGTTCTAGACCATGATAGACAATTTGCCCCATGAAAGTTAGAATGTGTTTGTGACTTTAACTAAGCATCACTATCCCACAATTCTGTGAAATTTGGGAAATTATGTAACCAGTTAATCACAATAAAAAAATTGAAAAAAAAGATGATATTAAGTGAACCTCAAGATATGGACACAACTGTTTTTTTCTTGCTTGCTATTGTTTTTAACTAATTTAAAATGTACTATGTGATATTTTTTTGCTTCTTTTGTATGTGTTTCCCCCACAGTACATCCCCTGTTTTCACTATATTTGATGTCAGTGCCCCCTAAATCTTGTATATATATTTTTCTAATTTGAGGAGGGGAAGGGAGATTTTTAAAAATGCTGAAATAAGGATACAGGTTTACCCATTGTAACAATGAGATGTACAAGACTATGTTGAAAACAAACTTTACAACTTGGAAGTGAGGAGGGAAGGGATGGTAGGGGATAAACAAAGGAGGTAACAATGCGGGATAGGAAATGTACTCATTACTTTACTCATGTAACTATAACTCCTCTGTACACTATTTTTACAATAAAAACAAACAAACATAAAAGAGTTTTAAAAAATCCTGGTCTGCATCACAGCACAAGTAAGCCAGAAAATTCATTAAGCACACAATGACCTGATTTTACTTGAAGATGTAGATGAAGAATAACTAATTTGTGGTGATAATTACTAAATCTATGTCTTGGCCCACTTTAGTGCTTTAGCCCAAGGCACTTCCTGATGAATGAGGAAAGTAAGAGATTAGACAGTGTCCCTATCACATCATGCCGTCTCCCATCCACGCTGGATGGCAGCTTCGTCCATCCTTCAGCCTCCCTCTGGGTAATAGGGACTCACTTTAACCAGTGACTTCTAATGGCAACCAGTTGAAGACCTTTGTCATCACACAAGGCAAGCCATTCCCTGATGTTTTTGGCCTTTCATAAATTTTTTGTCCAAAAGTTCTTTGATCCCTTCAGAATCCTTACCATTCGACAAGTAAATACAGTTAATAGTATGCTGTTTTTTTCATACATAATTGTTACATTGTTTTTCCACTTGCTGCAATAGCAAAGATCACCAGTAATCTAACTTGTCCTGAAAGTGTGTAATCATGTTTCAGGATGCTGAGCTGAAAAGCTGGTGAGTATGTAATGTTTGCAGAAGGTTAGGTAGGCCGTGGACACCTCTTCCAGCAGCATTCAGATAGGATTCTACTATAAACGTGTTATCTGTTAAAGGTTTTAATGCCCAGGCAATTTTTTTTCACTAAATAGACAGCAGAATTTCAGAGCACCTCCCTTAGCATATTCTCTCTCAAAAACAAATGCTGCAGTGCTTTAGTTCATTACGTTTTCCGAAGCCCATCTTTTCTGGATAAAAGACCCAGGTGTTTGTATTAGGGTGCCTTTAGGATGGGAATTTTCTGTGCAAACAGTCTTCATTTGAATATTCTTCCCATTTACCAAAAAGAAAGTATACTCCTATTTCTTTTTTCTTAAAATGCACAATGCTATTTTTCAGAAGAGGTACAAGTTCAGTTTACCGTAAGAAACATGAAAGTAAACACCTGGTGGTAAATAACTGCTATTGGATTCAACATCTCAAATACCACAGAAGACGTGGGCCTTCCCTCACAGAGACGCTGCCCGCCTGTGCTGGGTGTGCTGCCCTTGTGCAGACTCAGGCTCTCTGTAGCTCAGAGAAGCACATACAAATCTTTGGCTTCTGCCCAATCCTGGATCCCCAGGTCTTCCCAGTCCTCCTGTCCTTCACCTGACCGACAGCCACTCCCATTCTGGAGAAGCCAATCAGAGCACCAGCGTGGTGTCTGGGTATTGCCAGTAGTGCTGGGTTCCCTCTGAGGGGTAGCGGGGGATACAGAACCAAGGTCTGGTTAGACGCAGAGCAGAGGGCAAGGGCAAGCCAAGGTCACGCTCCTTTGGTGGTTTGTCTGCTCTTGCTGCTTTTAGCTAAGTGAAAGCAAGAATGGCAAGAGCCAAAGGGGCTTAGTAGCCCTGGCTCCCGGGTCCTGCAGAGGGAGAGGAGCTTCCTTCAGGACGGGGCCGCCGTGGTAGTGGCGCCCACCTCCCCCAGAGGGGTGCAGAGCCCTCGTGGAGTCCACTGCAGGAGGAGAAGCCAGCAGCAAGGGGCACGTGCGCCCTCCTCCACGCGTCCCTGCGAACCCGCACAACTGTTGAGGTGGCCCTGGTGTAAAAAGATTTGGTTCCCTCTTATTGACACAGTGTTAGAAAAGAGATTATGAATAATGTGTAAATATTCATTCTCTTCCAGGAACATGGGTGACATTCGGAGGCCAAATTTCAGATGAGGTGAGTGGCTTCCTGTCTCCACTGTGAAGGGAGACTCAGAGCTGAGGGTGAGGGTGGGGGGAAGGGATCCTCTCTCGCCAGGGGGGATTGAATCCCGAAAACAGGTAAGACTGACTCGAAGAGCAGTCCCAATTCTATCTTCCCTCCTGCCATTTTCACATTTAGGCTATTTATTTATAGCCCCTGAGGCAGGGAATGAATGAAACCATTGGAATTAGACAATGACACCATTTGGAATTAACTAATTTTCTGTCACGTTATGAGAAGATTTTTGTTGCTGATTGATTGCTTTCCTGATTCATTCTTAGCTGTGACTCCGGTGGCCAGCTGCTCTCAGGTCACGTGAGATTTTCTCCCTTTTAGCACCACAAAAAGTCAAGTCACAGAAATCCTCTGAGTCATGGCAGAGCAGACTGTTGGTCACTGCGGCCTGGGCAAGTCTGTGAGCCTCAGTCTTCCTTAAACTAGAATAACTGTGCTGATCCTGAATTCCAAGGAAGAGGTTGACCCATCATGCATTGCGTAGGCCTGAGGTGGTAGACCTGCTCCCGTGGCTCGGGTAGTCATTACAGTCAGTGAAGGCCTTGGGACTGCAGTGGGCACCTTCCAGTCAGGGCCTGACTCAGGGCACTGTCACCCTTACCTGTGAGGCGTGCGTCAGGGAGATGCCAGGCACTGAGCACCACGAATCCTGGAGGACAGGCACCGAGCATGAGTCCTGAGGTTCTTCCCTCGGTGAGCTCAGAGACCGCAGCCAGCAGACCTCTGAGGTGCAAGTCTGCCACATGCCTCCCCAAACTACGGCAGAGGCTCTGGGTGAGCAAGATGGCCCTCCCTCTCCTTTCTTCCCCCCTCCTTCCTTCTCCTCTCCCTCCCTTCTTCCCTCCCTCCCTCTCTTCCTTCCTTTTTTTCTTCCTTCCTTCCTTCCTTTCTTTTGCCAGTCCTGGGGCTTGAACTCAGGGCCTGGGACACTGTCCCTGAGCTTCTTTTGCTCAAGGTTAGCACTCTACCACTTGAGCCACAGTGCCACTTCAGGCCTTTTCTGTGTATGTGGTACTGAGAAATTGAACCCAGGGCCACATGCATGCTAGGTGATCACTCCTACTACTAAGCCACATTCCCAGCCAAGATGGCTTTTTAAAAGCAAAAAGTCCCCATCTTCCCACTTGCTGGTTTTGTGATAATAAAGCTCATTCTTCTCCCACTAAAAGAGAAACAGAAAACCAACTCTCCTGATAAGGGGAAGAGATGAGAGAGAGAGGCAGAGGGTGAAGCCAATGGTGGTATATTGTATATGTGTGTGGAAATGTCTGGTAAGAGAGAGGGACAAGGAAGGGAAGAAAGAAGGAAGAAAAGAAAGAAGGAAGGAGGGAGGGAGGGAAAGAAGGAGGGAAGGAAGGAAGAAAGGAGGGAGGGAAGAAAGGGAGGGAAGGAAGAAGGGAAGGATGGTAGAAGGGAAGGAAGGAATGAAGGAAGGAAGGAGGGAGGGAGGGATGGAGGGAGGGAAGAAAGGAAAGGAAGGGAAGGGAAAGAAGGAAGGAAGAAAGGGAGGGAGGGAGGGAGGAAATCACTCAAGGCTAATGCCCTGTATCCTCTGACCTTGTCTGACTGTAAGGGGGTGGAGGTACTGAGTGGATGCACAGTGGAATCCAGTCCCCCTACCACCGAGTAGCTAGCTTTGTCCGCATGGACTCTTGTCTTGTTAGCCTCCTGGTTTTCAAAACAACAGAAGAGTTTACCTTGGAAATGCTGATGAGGGAACTTTAGCCCACCTTCACAAAACAAATTAATTAAAAAATATACACAGTAAAAAAGCCAACTGTAATTATTTGTGAAGTGGGTATTTGCCCAACAAGGAATAAATCAGATGGCCGAAAGAAGACACGTTCCCTGTACTCGGTTGCTTATTGTATCCCTGAGCTGTTGTCTACGGCCCTGGCTTCTGTCCCATGCAGTAAGAGCAAGGGTTGGGGTCTGTTGATGGCTCTCTCCCCCTCACCCCCCACCCCATGCATTAAGGACAAGGTCTCAGGTATGTCTGGGGGCTGGGCAGGGAGGGCCCCATCGTGGTGGTCAGGTGACCCGCTACCTCCACCCAGTGTGGATCCAGGCTCTCTGTGAGGAGGCTGGGCTACAGGAGTTTTGCAACAGCCTGGGAAAAAATAAAATCACAAGCTTTCAGGTCAGGCCTCATCCAGCCGCCAATACAGAGAAGAGTGTGGAGAAGCGAGAAGCTGTATAGGACTAGAGCTTTGTCCGAGGGAGGAGATGGCACAGAACATTGTGGGTCCAGCATGGGAGACGCCACGGTGCCCTGCTGGGCCCCACAGAGGGCTCACTAAGTGCCAGTCTTGCAGTGAAATTTCCAGGTGACTCCCCAAGCTGGGGACACCCCAGCCCCGGCCTGACCTTCCTGTCCCCTTGCAGGTGGCAGAGCGGCTGATGACGATTGCCTACGAGAGTGGTGTCAATCTCTTTGACACTGCTGAGGTCTATGCTGCTGGAAAGTAAGTCTCGACCTGTTTGCGTCCACTTGGAAAGACACCCGGGATGTTCCAGGCTCTTCCAGGGGCTGCTGGGAAAGGGCTGCTGCCTTCTCAGGCACCAGGGCCCTGCCCCTCCCCTCCATCACCACCATTAGCCCTGGATGTGCTGCCTACCCTGGCTCTCTCTGGCCATCCAGACTGCCCCTGAATGGACGTGGGTGGGAAGGAGGCGGGGCTAGGAGGCCAGGGTGATGGTTTACCGGTCTGGGAGCAGAGGGAGGGAGGGAGCAAGCAGATGGATGAACAGCATCCAACATGAGTCAAAGCTGGCTGCTCACCTGCAGGTCCGGAAGAGCAGCCCAGGGCTGCCCTCCCTGCTGACCAGCGGTGCTGGTGACTCAGTAGCTCTCATGAGAGCGCCCTGCACAGCCCACCTCGAGGGCAGAGAGGCCCAGAGAGGAGTCACCTTCCACCATGCCTTTCCTGGGACCTGAGCTCCGGTGTGGGGCTCCATGTGGGCAGCTAGCTCACCCACAGGAGTGTCCCCTGGGGCCTCCAGCACCCATACCGCCCAGGTCACAGCGGGCACGGGTGCCCTGGAGAACAGACCGAGGGTCCTGGCCTTGTGGCGTGGACATGGATGTCTGCTTCCTGAAGCGAAGGAGCCAAATAACTGGACCATGGTGTGAGAACCCCAAGAACCTCTAAGCTGAGAGCACTTGTAATCAACATCCAGCCCCAGGCCCCTCAGTCCCTCAGGGAGGCCAGAGCAGCCAGACCTGCCCACACGGGGTCCTCACAGAGTCCGTGGGTGCCCTCCCTGCCCCTATCCTGCTTTTCAAGGACACGTGTTCATAGCTGGGGACTCTGGGGCCCACATCTCTTCTGTTTTCCGTGAGTCCAAGAAAAGAAAGCAGAAGTCATGAGGGCCGAGTCCCCCTAGCACACCCGGCCCGGCCAGCACACCCGGCCCGGCCGGCACACCCAGCCCTGTGTGGCTCTCAGTGTGTTAGCGCGCGCGGACCCTGCGAGGCCCCATCCACACCCCTCCTGTGAGGGGCGATCATTGAATCCTACTGACCTGACCCATGTAAGTGTGGAACTGAGCATCCCACTGTGAACTGAGTTAGAAAGGGCGTGTGGAAAGCAGAGCGCACTCCCAAAGACCAGGCTGGCGCTGGCACTCGGTGCCAGGCTGTGTGGGGGCCGCACCACAGCTACCCCACATCATGACTTCTTCCAGGCTGTGTCTCCAAACACACGCAGGACTTCTGCTGATGTGATGTGACAGTTAGCCGGGACCCTCCCTCGAGCTCGAGAGTGGCAGAGCACTGAGCCTTCACGAAGCCTCTGATGGCCAGGGGCTTCTGGGGCTGAGTAGGGGTCTTGCCAGGGACCTGGGGGGGGAGTTCCCCTTTCCTCAAGCTTGGGCCCCCACTGAGGAGGAGGGGAGGGGAGTAGGTCTCTTCAGTATAGCTCTCCATGGCCCGGCCTCAGGACAGCACTCTGCAGTTCCTCCTTAGGTCTTGTCACGGGTTCCTCATCCTCCCTCCAGATCACCCGGGAGCCCATGTTTTCTGCCCAGACAGTGTGCGTTCCCCTGTCCTCACGGCCACACAGTTAGAAAGAATACCTTGATGCTCGGTGGACCCCAGGATATTTATACACTGGATCGGTGGTTTGAAAAACACCAAACTGCCAAATGCTTCTGCTGTTTCTTAGTATCAGGCCCGCAGGCGGTCCCCTGCCAGCCTGTCAGGACTTGGCAGGCACTTCTGGAATGCTCTATAGCAGGATTGTGCTGGCACAAGCAGAAAACAGTGGAGCGTGCGCTACCAACAGAGAACGCTTCTATTTCGGGCTATGCGGGCTCTGAGATGCCAGCAAAGAATGGCTCTGGGGTTCGGGTTGGCCTGGCTGCCCATCCTGAGACACTCTCTGCTTCTTCCCCAGGGCCGAGACAATTCTGGGGAGCATCATCAAGAAGAAAGGCTGGAGGTACCACCAGTCCCCAACCATTACCCTCTGTCTGCTTTGTTGTGGTTGTTGTTGCTGGTCCTGGGACTTAAGCTTAGGGCTCATGTGCTGTCCTTTTGCTCTTTTGCTCAGGGCTAGCACTCTACCACTTGAGCCACAGGACAACTTCTGGGTTTTGGTGGTTAATTGGAGATAAGAGTCTCTCTGACTTTCCTGCCCAGGCTGGCTTTGAACTGTGATCCTCAGATCTCAGCTTCCTGTGTGGTTAGGATTATAGGTGTGAGCCACTGGCACCTTGGCTGTTTGCTTTTTTAAAAATTGCCATTGAGTGTACCAAAGAGAAAAAAAATTAATATATGTGCTTAATCAAAGAGCTGTCAAAAAATCCATTCTTGGTAAAGAAATGATTCACAATGGTTTAAGAACAAATGTCAGCGTTCATTACGTGCACTTCAAATACTATTGACTGATCATTGATCACAGTGAAATACTGCAGGCCTGGCCAGAGAAAGAGAGTGTTTATGAGATATTTGTGCATGAAAGAAGGCGACATTTTCGTAGCTCTCATGGCCATTCGTGGTAATTAGGTGAAGGAAAATGAGCTTCAGGGAGAGTAATACCCACACACAGAGGTGCACAGCCGCCGTTCATTTGATTAACGACTCTGGGCGCAAACAAATGACTAAACAAGAAGCCACTGGGCTAAGCACTTGGGAGCTTATCTGAGCACAGGCAGGCAGCACCTGTCCCTATACCCAGGTACTCAGAAAACAGCACCTGTTTTCCCCACAGTGGTGCCCTATCACTCAGGTACTCAGAAAAGCACTTTACTGTTACCGTGCAAGGGGCCTCCCCGCCCCATCCAGCACCTTCTGTGCCCCGAACTAGTGGTGATGAGGGTGGCTGTGTCTGGCAGGGGTGAGGACAGCCCCATGTCACAGCGGGTAACAGCCCGTTCCCCTCCTGCCTGAGAGCACTCACACCACCTCCTGTCCAGGGACTCTGAAGACATATAGCTCATCTTCCTAGCCCCGAGCCTTCACAGCGCTTTCTCTTTGTGGTGCTGGGGGCTTGGACTCAGGACTTTGCCTTACTTTACCACCGAGCTACTCTCCCAGTCCTTTTCCAAATAGTTATTTTTCGAAAGGGTCTTGTGTCAGGGGCCAGCCTCAGGCTGCGATCCTCCTATCTGTGGCCTCCGGAGTGGATTTTTTTCTTGAGATGTGGCCATGCTCCAGCTGGCCTCTCCCTGTGTCTCCTCCACTCTCCTCTGCTTGCCCAGTAGCTGGGATTACAGGTATGTTCCACTGTACCCACCCACAAAAGCTGGGTCCAGCAACGCACCCCGCTGCTTGTCCTGGACAGTCACTTCCTAGTGTTTTACAGGGGCAGGTTGCTTCACTGCTCTGACTCTCCATTTCCCCTACAAATCGGACCACATAACTACTCATGAGTATGTGCTGACAAAGTGTGGTAAGTGTGCAAAGGCCTTGGCGCGCTACCCAGTAGTCACAGTAGCATGCTCCACCGCACGTGACCCCGTCCACTCTTGAACACAAGCATGGGGGTGTACCCCTACATGGCCATCACTTGCAGGAAACCTAACTGCAGAAAAACAAGTCTGCGGTGGTACTGAATGAGTGTGAAGTATCAGTTACACACAACTGCCCTGGACCACTGAGAGTGGCGTTCCTTCTTCAGAGCTTTCCAATCAGCTTTTAGTTGAAGGTGAAAAATGTTCTCCCCCCACCCCACACAGTGCAGAATGCAAGGTGGGAGGACTAACTAGCAAATGTCAGCCCCTTGGGCACTCCATGTGCCCTATCTCCAGACCTCCTCTCTGCCCGCTCCAGTCGCTTCTCTGAGAAGTAACTCCAGTGGGACAGGGTTGCCGATGTATGCAACAAATGTTTCTTGTTACAAAGAAGCCAATGGTGGGGCCCGGAAGGTGGCTCAGTGGTAGAGTGCCTGCCTAGCATGCATGAGGCCCTGGGTTCGGTTCCTCAACACCACATAAACAGAAAAAGCCAGAAGTGGCACTGTGGCTCCAGTGGTAGAGGGCTCGCCTTGAGTAAAAGAAGCTCAGGGACAGCACCCAGGCCCTGAGTTCAAGCCTGTGTTCTCTATGTCTGTCTGGTATACCATATTCTCACCGTTGCTCTGTGTCTGTTTGGTATGCAATGTTCTGACTGTTTCTCTGTGGCTGTTTGGTATGCAGGAGGTCCAGCCTGGTCATAACAACCAAACTCTACTGGGGCGGAAAGTAAGTTCTACATTTTATATTTTCCCTCCCGGGAAGGGAGTAACTAGTACATGGTGCTTTTTTATTCTCTCCTAGACAACTACTTTACATTTGAGTTGTGTTCAAATTAATTGGCTCGGAGAGAGCTATGTCTTGTTGCCTTTTATCTCCTCATGCTACAGAAATAGCAATCTGGCTAGGATTCCCAAAGAAATTTAGAGCATAAAAAGCATGCGGTCACTTTTACTAAGTGATTCATACAGAATTTTCAAATGCCAGTGTCATACTTAGAATCATTTCCAAAATAGAGTTCAGATTTCAGAGGAAGAAACTAAAGCATCAGAATGGAAGAAAAGCTACTCAAATCTGCCAAAGCTCAGAGGCTTCCATGGAATGCAAAGATAAAAATAGCTTGTCTGGCTTTACTTGTGAGACTCTGGTCCTTTCTGCAGAGGGCTAGGAGACGGCTGATCAAAAGGACCATCTCCTGGGGAGACGGCAGAAGCTGTACCCACACCACTCCTGTCAGGCCAAATGAAAGAGAGGTCTGCTCTCTGCTGTGGGATGCAGAACCAATTTCACAGGATGAGTTGGTTTCTGATGGACCAGACTGCTAGGGTTTGAACTCGTGTTTACGCTAGCCAGCGAGAACTAGAAGGCTGGCCTTTTCTGACAAACTTAGGACAACCAGCAAGCCAGTGCAAATACCAGAGCAATGGCTGGCACCACGCTGCTCATGGGACTCTCCAGGAGTGTTGAAATCTGAGCAAAAAAAAAAGAAAGAAAGAAAGAAAAGAAAAGAAAGCAGAAGCAAGCCAACCCTTGTCTACTCCTCAATAATTGGCAGAGTATGTGGTTTTGTTTTAAAGAGGAGGCAGGAGGGGCTAGTTCTGTAGGAGCTCTCTAATCCCAAGGTATATTGCGAGTGCACGTGCATGTGCACGCGCACACACACACACACACACACACACACACACGCACACACACACTTGCATATTTTATTATTGGTTTTCAGCCCATTGATTCATGACATAAATGAAGGTAGAAGTTGCATTCTAATTCCTATTGCCATTTCCACAGAAATCAAACCACATGGTACCTGGTGGTATCTCTTACTTGTCTTATAACCCATAATACCATTGGCTGGTATGTTTGCAATGGTACACAAAAGTTTGCCCATGGTGAACTAGAAAGTGAAACAATTGGAAGCAAAATAATATGCAAGAACTCTACCTAGTGCTGTTGTGCATACAGTACATAAATATACTTTGTACAGACACATTCACACAGGTGAATAGCTATGGTTTCTAAAGAGCCTGCTCAAAATCCAGGTGATGGTGGCTCACACTTGTAATCCTAGCTACTCAGGAGGCTGAGATCTGAAGATAGCGGTTCAAAGCCACCAGAAAATCAGAAGTGGTGCTGTGGCTCAAGTGGTAGAGTGCTCGACTTGAGCTGAAGAGCTGAGGGACAGTGCCCAGTCAAGGCCCATGACTGACAAAAACTAAACAACAACAACAACAAAAAAACCATAGTCTTCCCAAAGTATTGATGCTAAAGAAGCAATTCATGACTATTGTGAAATGCAACCACCACAGTTATTTTCTAATTGTCCAGAGCTTGAGAATCAACTGAGAGGGTGAAAGTCTCTATCAACACAGTGTGTCTTCATTTATTTATTTATTATGATAATAAAGGTGAGGTACAGGGGTTACATAAGTCAGGTAAAGAGAACATTTCTTTTTAGACAATGTCACCTCTTCACTTGCTCTCTCCAGGTTTTCCCTTGTCTGGTTCATTTTCAAAAGTTTTGTCTTCTTAGGAAACTAAAGAAAAAACTTGGCTCATCACATTCTCAAGAAAAAACAGTTGTTCAGTTTCTTTGTAGACTTTCTTTGTTAAATTTGCTTGGGAAAGTTCACATCAGCAGCTCCTTTTCCTCCTCCTCCCCTTCTACCTCCTCCACCTCCTTCAAGCGCTGAGGGGGTGCAAATGTGGGTTGGGCTGTACTTGGAAGATTATATGGCTGACTGTCACGTGAACCTGGAGTGGAGTGGTAATAATGCTGTGGACACAATACAATCCTTGCATCACTGAAGAAAAGGAGTATACAACAACCACTCCTGCAGAATCCACCAAGAACAGGGTAGAAAATTAGCAATGCAGACTAAGTGACAGTTATTATTCCTCTGCATTTTGAATCAGAATTTTTTTCAAAAGCACAGTCAAGTCACGAACTCCTTTCTCTTTGCAGAGCTGAGACGGAAAGAGGGTTATCAAGAAAGCACATCATTGAAGGTCAGTTCTGCTGCTCGGCTTTATGTTTGTTTGTGGGCCCCTGAATCAAGAAAAGTAGCCACCAATTAGGTTCAAAATCCCCTTAGATGAGGAAAGAATTCTGCATGGGAAGAGCCAGTCAGCCGAGTTCCTCCCTGGGGTTGAGTGCAGAGTGGATGGGGCCCAGGAGGAAGTGCTCCAAGTCCTCCAGTACAGCTAATACCAGTACGATAGAGTATTCCTGTAAGACTTTTGTGATGAGCTTTGTTGATGCGTGTAAGTATACCGTGTGCCACTTTTCAACCTACAGAGTTGTGTGGTAATCACAAATGAATGACTTCATAAAGATTCAAGGTTATTATAACTTTAGATTCATGATTAAACCATTAGACATAATTTTCTCCTTTCTTAGAAATTTTCACTTATGAATGACAAGTGTCATTCAAACCAAATGAACCATTTTGGGGAAACAAGATCCATTCTAGAAAGCCAAAGAAAAAGGCATATTTTAATACAACTATGTTCTATAAGTAACATACCAACTTGTTAGATAAATTGGTTTTACTTACTTACGTACTTTGTGTAACTTCATTCTTCTTGTTCTAAGGGTTCGCCCTTTGTGCTTTAAGCTATTTTTCTTTTGCGTTGTCAGGTGTGGTGCTGAACTTTTACAGGAGCTTTTCATATGGGAGCCATGTCCCTCCCTGTTGGTTGTGTGTGCTACAAATGCTTTCTTCCAGGATGTTGTTTTGTTGTGAATGTTTTTCCAAGACTGTCATCTGAAAGACAATGCTTAATTTAGGAGGACTTCCTTGGCCTATGAACATGGCTTAGAAATATCTCACACAAGGCTGGGAAGGTGGCTCAGTGTAGAGTGCTTGCCTTTCAAGCATGAGGCTCTGGGTTCGATTCCTCAGCACCACATACGCAGAAAAAGCTGGAAGCGGCAATGTGGCTCAAGTGGTAGAGTGCTAACCTTGAGCTGAAGAGCTGAGGGACAGCACCCAGGCCCAGAGTTCAGGTCCCACAACTGACAAAAAAAAAAAAAAAGCAAGAACTATCTCACACAAGGCATAGAAAAAAGTCAGTATTTAAAATGAAGACTTTCTATGATCTTAGAATAAACACATACTCACCAAGAGCCGGTAGCTCACACTTGTAATCCTAGCTACTCAGGGAGCTGAGATATGGAGATCACAGTTCAAACAACCCAGACAGGAACATCTGTGAGACTCATTTCCACTTAGCAACCAAAAGGCCAGAAGTGGAACTGTGACTCAAATGGTAGAGCACTAGCCTTGAACAAAAACAACAAAAAAGCTTAGGGACAGCTTCCAGGCTCTGCGTTCAAGTCTCAGGACTGGTGGGCCCACGTGCGCGCACACCCACACCCACATGCGCGCGCACACACACACACTACTTTTAACAATAGTATGTATATCATTCTATTGCTTCCAAAGTCTTATCTGAGTTTGGCCAACTCTGTCATTTATGAGCTGAGTGGCTTTGTGCAAGATTCTTAGGAATCCTCACTAAGCCTCTGTCTCTGATGCAAGCATAGACTGTAGAAATCCCTGTGCATGGAACCTCGGCAGACAGATTGCAGCCCAATGGTTTGTGTGATGCGCCATGTCCATTGCATCATGAATGCTTCATATGTGTTATCTTTGTCATCATCATCACCCAGAAACTCCCTGATACACACAGATATTTAGGGCAGCTGAACTATTCTGTTTTTTATAGCTGTCCATAGAAGAATCCAGGAAAAACGTGAACATAGTAAAGGTGACAGGATGGTTTATGAGAAGAGAAATACAGCAGAGAACGGGGGTGGTATCGACACACCACAGAAGATAACACTTCCACCTATCCCATCCATTCTGGGGGCTTCAGAGCTCGGGTTCAACAGGGAGACTTGGAGTCCTTGAAATGGTTGATTGCTGGGTTTCCTGGCTGTTGCCTAAAATGTTGTGGCACCAAAGCCTCAGGGTCAGTCCTTACTTCCCCCCTCCTGTGTCCTCATGTAGCAGTCTTCCTTCCTTCCGCCATTTCATTGTCAGGCAGGTTTTGATTTATCAGCCTATCCTGCCACATTGTATAGGGCACAATTCCCTACCTGCCTGCTTTTCTACTAACTTCTCTCCTAAGGACGCTCTTTAGGAAGCTACAGCTCTCATCGCCCTTGGTTTTCCTAACTCCTCCTCCAAACAGAATCCTTCTCTGGTTTTCTTGTCCAGTTGGATTCTAAAGTCAAACCCAGCCTGCCTCTTCACACGGTTCCCTCGCCGCTGACTCCTCCCTGCTGACCCAGGACTTGTGTCCTCCAGGCACTTTGTCAGAGAAAAACAGCCAAGTTACTTGAAGTGTCCACCCGAACAAGCACTTGGGTTGCCTGCAAAGTTCTTCCCTTCTTTTCATTTTTTGTTCTTAATTTACTTTATTGTTATTATAGAGGTGATGTACAGAGATTACAATTACATAACGAGTACATTTCCTTTCGTACATTGTCTTCTGTTCGCTCACTCCCTCCCAGTCCCTCCCTCCCGTCTCCACCCATGAGTTGTAGAGTTCACTATCACCAGTGTGTAGAGCTTTACTGCTGTACTTTCTCACCCTTTGTCCTTCGAGTTCTGTACCCTCCCCCCAACCCTTCCAAAGATGTACACTTGAACACCATACATGAGGTAAAGAGGAATCATCAGAAACTAAAAACTACACCTCTAAGTTCTAATGTTTTTCTGAGTAGTTTGCAGTAGTTAAGTTTCAGGTCTGACATTGAGGTCTCTGACCCACTTGGAATTGGTATTAGTGCACAGTGACAAGCAGGGGTCCACATTTAGTTTTCTGCATCTGGCTGCTCAGTTTTCCCAACACCAACTATTGAAGAGGTTATTTTTCCCCTGGATGATGTTGTCTCCTTTATCAAATATCGGATAACTGTAAGTGTATATGTGGTTTTTTTCCTGGGTCTTCTAGTCTGTTCCATTGATTTTCAGGTTTATTTTTGGGCCAACTCCAAGCTGTTTTTATTATAGTTCTGAGGTAGATCTTGAGGTCTGGTATTGCCATACCACTTACATTGCTTCTTTTTGCCTAGCATTGGTTTGGCTATTCAGGATTTTTGTTGTTCCATATGAATTTTTGGATTTTTTTCCAATCTCAGTAAAGAACTTCATTGGGATTTTGATCCACATAAAATTTGTATGTCATTTTTGGCAGTATGGCCATTTTTACAATATTGATTCTACCTATCCATGAACATGGAAGGTCTTTCCGTTCCCTTGTGTCCTCTTTAATTTCTTTCTTTAGAGTTTTATAGTTTTCACTATAAAGGTATTTTACATCTTTGGTTAGGTTTATTCCTAAGTTGTTCATTTTTTAGGCTAATACAAATAGGGTGTTTTCCTGATATCCCTTTCTTTTTATACATTATTGGCATAGAGAAAGGCTACTGGTTTTTTGTGGGTCAATTTTGTATCCTGCTACTTTGCCATAGTTGATCAGCTCTAGGAGCTTGGAATAGAATCATTTGGGTTCTTTTGGTATAAGATCATGTTGTCTGCAAATAGGGATAGTTTGACTTCTTTCCCTATGTGAATCCCTTTTATGTCTTTTCCTTGCCTTACTGTTCCCATTAGAAATTCCAGAACTATACTGAAGAGGAGTGGAGAGAGAATGGATATCCCTTGCCTTGTTCCTGACTTTAGGGGAAATAGTTTTGATTTTTCCCCATTCAGTATGATGTTGGCTGTTGGTCTGTCATATATAGCCTTTATTATTTTAAGAAATGTTCCTTCTATTCCTAGCTTCTCTAGAGCTTTTAATGTGAATGGATGTTGTATTTGGTGGAAGGCTTTTTCTGTATCTACTGAGGTAATCATGTAGTTCTTGTCTTTGGCTCTGTTGACATAAATTACATTTATTGATTTGAATATGTTAAACTAGCCTTGCAACTGTGGGATGAAGCCTACTTGGTCATAATGTATAATTTGTTAAATTTGTTTCTGATTTCTATTGGATAATATGTTATTGAGGATCTTTGCATATGTGTTTATCAGAGAAATTGGTCTGTGGTTGTCTTTCTTTGTTGGATTCTCGCCTGGTTTTGGGATAAGCGTGATACTGGCTTCATAGAATGAGTTTGGATTTGATCCTTCTATTTCTTTTTCATGGAAAATTTGAGGAGTATTGGTGTTAGTTCATCTTTAAAAGTCTTACAGCATTCAGCTGTGAATCCATCTGGGCCTGGGCTTTCCCTTGTTGGAAGGTTTCTAATTACTTCCTCAATCTCCTTGAGTGTTATTGGCCTGTTCAACCAGTTTACATCTTCTTAGTTCAGTTAGGCAGTTTGTATGTCTCTAGAAATGCGTCCATTTCTACTAGGTTTTCCATCTTTTTAGAGTATAGATTTTGAAAGTAGCTCTTCATAATTGTTTGGGTTTCTTGAATGTTTGTTGTTAACTGTGGCATCTCTGATTTTATTGATTTGAATCTCATCTCTTCTTCATCAGTTTTGTTAGTGATCTGTCAATTTTACTAATTTTTTCAAAGAACCAGCTTTTTGTTTCATTGATTTTATGTATAGTTTTTTTTTTCAGTCTCTACTTCATTTATTTCTTCTCTAATCTTTTCCATCTCTCTCCATCTAGTAGTTTGAAGTTTGGCTTGCTCTTGTTTGTCTAGCAATTTTAGTTGCATCATGAGGTTATTTACTTGAGCTGTTTCTGTTTTCTTTATGTGTGTGCTTAGAGCTATAGACTTTCCTCTCGCACTGCTTTTGCTGGATACCAGAGATTCCGAGGTGATATGTTTCATTGAATTGCAAGGACTTTCTTATTTCCTCCTTAATTTCTTCTGTGGCTTATGTCATTCAGTAGTGTGTTATTCAGCCTCCATGTGTTTGGGTGTTTTCTGCAATATGTTTAGTTATTGAGAACCAGTTTGATTCCATTGTGGTCAGATAGGACTTTTCTCAATTCTCTTGTATTTGCTTAGAATCTTTGTGTGTACTTTGATGTGAT